GGAAAGTGTTCCAGTAGAGATTATAGGGTAGCTGGTGTGCCACTGTGATTTGCTTAATTCAAAGTGGTGCTTGAAAGAGACATTTAATCTGCAGTGGACAGAAGCTGCAATGCTGATACTGAAAATGACATCTAGCAACAATTTATGATGGCTTTTTCTGAAAGTGGCTTGGGAAAAGTATCTCACTGATACTAGTTGTGAAGTTAAGCTTCTGAATTTTACATATGAAGGTGGTGGAGGGAGAGCTATATTTAGATGAAAAGGATTCACTTCTTTCTAATACCATGCAACCAGAAAATCTGAAGTTCTTCATTTCAACCCTGAATCAAAATGGTTGATGTTAATTTTTTCATTACTTTCACTGACCTCTCTGGAGGCCAGTAAAAAGGCTGCCTAAAGATCAAAAGTCCAGAATTAAATGGTATTTAAATGTGTAACAGCCAGTTACTTCATGGAGTGATTTTGCTGATTTTAATTGAAAATTAAGATGCTAAATACCATTAAGGATCTCAGCTTAAGTGATTTAAAAAACCTCAGACAACTATAAAAATTCTGTGATAGATCTGCATGCTTCCTTTTTTTTTAAACATTTGAGTCAATACTATTCCTGCATTAAGACAAATATCTTTCACTCACATCGCATTACCTCAATGTGTGTGCATTAAGGGCCAAGTTGTGAGTTTCTAGAAGTCAAAAAAGGTAAACTTTTCACCTGCTTGAAATCCAACCAAAGCTGTTGAAGTTATGGCTTCAGATCCTACCTCTATTTTTGCCTTCTGCACTCTGTAATGAAATCTAACTCATCAACCATGTTGCAAAACTTTCATGGTTATCCCCTGGTTAACTTTCTCTGCTCTGAAATTCCAATGGGCCATAAATGTAAATTCAGTTGTGGATAGTGATACAGTAGGAAGACAGATTTATATAGAAGAGACAGTTAAAAATTCTTCAATAGCTTTAGTGTAAAGAGATTTTATTGATTTCCTGCATAGGAAAGCAAACCTGAGGAACTGTTGTTAGTAATCCCCTTTCAAGACAGACATGAGATAGTAGGTATGGCATACAGTTTATTAAGATATCTAGATAACCTTAAGGGGAAAAAAAAGCAAGCTGAAAACAAGTCAGAGCTTGAAGCTTTATAGAAACTTATGGTGGTGAGAAAATATTATGAGACGTGTTTCAATATATCTGAGAATATTTCTGACTACAACAGGAAGCAGTACATAAAAAAAAAAAAAGGTTAAAAAACTGTTTCAGACAAGTATTTTGAAAAGCTTTTTATTATTTGATAGCTTGTACTTTGGCGGTTGAAGCCATTAATGTGGTCCACAGAGCACCGTCTGATTAACCTGAAACTGAAAAAGTGAAAATAACACACTGTCAACATTTCCTACAGGAGGGGCATGGAAGTTCTAGGGTAAAAAGTTACAAAAGGAAAGGAAAAGGGGTTCAAAGTCACTGTGACAGAGGATGTGTGTTTGGTTTGCTTTTCAATGAGGCTTGCTGATAGAAAGGAAAGATTTCTACATGCACGAAAAGGAGGAAGGGCAGGGGGAATAAATTCAAGTGAGTTAGATTTTCAAGAACCAAAGCAATTTCTGTCCAGGCAAAAGAGAGAAATGAAGATTGATAAAGCAGCAATAGAAGCAGGAGCACAGTGCAGAAAGATAGTTATGGATGGTTAAAAGTTTCTAACTAGTTACAGATGTCTGTTGCTTGGAAAAACTATTTTAGGCCCTTAAGCACGTGCTTGATTTTAATGAGATTTATGCTCAGGCTAAATGCCAGGCATGGTTCAAGGACTTTGCTGAACCAGGATCAAAGAGAGAAAACTGTCATTTGAGTTAAGTATGGTGATTTTTTCATATTCCTTTGAACATATGAGAAGATATTCCAAAATTTTTTCAGCAATAACAGTTTAGGAGGAAGATAAAACCACACTGACTACAACCTTAGTGGTCTGGTTTTCTACATGTGGGTATGAGATCAAAATCAGCAGTTAGCTATTAAAGTTTGAAAATGAAGAAGTAGGAAAGTAAACACTGTCAAAAATTGGATGAGAAGTCTGAAGAAAGGGGGTTGAGATTGTGCTGGTAAAGGAGGTACAGAAGCAGGGTAAGAAGATATTTTTAATGCATAAGGATATTAAAAATGAACATATTATAAACAGTCCAGACAAAAAGCTAGAAATAAAATCCAGGCAAGAGTCAGAGAAGAGATACAAATTAAATCTTACTAACACTGGGGGGAAGAAAACAGTTGTGGAAAATTGGGATGTGTACTGTACTGTGCTGGGGATGGCTCAGCAGAGGAAGAAGAGAACCTCAGCTTACAGCCATGGGAAGACACTTTGTAGTTGTGGGGAGCAAAAGGCTCACTCCCAAGATCCCCCTGTCCAGTTATGTAAATTGTTGCTAGAAAATTCAGTGTTCTCCTTGTTATTATTGTTTACTTTTTGCTGCAAAAATTGTAGTATTCTTAATCATTCTCTCCCATTGAATCCTTCCCTCAGACCCTGCCTTAACCCCTCCCTATATTCTCATGTATAAATACCTCTGCTCTACCCTGGACCCTGCTCATTTCTGGTTTGTTCCTGGTGCAGTGCGGCCCATCCTGTTTGTTGTTTTCACCTTATTAAAGTTCTGTTTCCAAGCAGTCAGATCAGAGTAGTCTCTCTTCATAAAGTCACCAGAGCTGATTTGCGAGGAAACCACCAGTCAGACTGTCTGGGCAAGGACCAGAGGGTTTCAGCACTGACATGACAGTGGGCAGACTACAGAGGTGGTGTCTATAATAAGTTACCAAAATCTTCCCCAATGACTGACAGAGCCAATTCCAGCTAGATCCAAGATGGACCTGCCACTGGCCAAGGCCAAGAATATCAGTGATGATGGTAATGCCTCTGAGATAACAGGTTTAAGAAGGGAGAAGAAACAACTGTGACACAGCAGTCAGAGAGGAGTCAGAATATGTGAGAGAAACATGTCTGCAGACACTGAGGTCAGCAAAGAAGGCCGTGACCCTACAGATCATGAGGACTGCATGGGTGCAGAGATCCACTTGCAGCCATGAAGGACCCTGTGCCACAGCGGGCAGATCCCAAAGGAGGCTGTGAACCTGTGGGAAGGCTGTGCTGAGCAGTTTTGCTGGCAGAACTTGTGAGCCTGCAGGGGACCTGCACTGGAGCAGTGCGATCTTGTAAGGCTGCAACACTGTGAGAGGGATCAACGTTGGATCATCTCCTGAAGAACAGCTGCCCTTGGGAAGAACTCACACTGGAGAAGTTCATAGAAGACTTGAACATATGAAGGACCCCACTCTGGAGCAGGGTAAGAGTGCAAGGAGTCCCCCCCTTGAAGAGAAAGGAGGGGCGGAGATAACATGTGGTGAACCAACCTCAACCCTCATTCTCCCCCACTCCTAGGGGGAAGGAGGCAAATATTAGAGAGTAAATTTGAGCCTGAGAAGAAGGGATTGGTGATTGTATTAAGATTTAGTTTTTATTTCTAATCCTATTCTCGTTTAATTAGTAATTGTAGAAGCCTGCAATAATAAATTAAATTCTTTTTTCCAAGTCAAGTCTGCTTTGCCTGTGATAGTAATGGGGGACTGATCTCTTACCCAAGTCTTCATCTTGGCTCACAATCCTTTTATTACATGTTCTCTCCTCTGTTCAGCTGAGAGGTAGGAGAGATGGAATGCCCTTGATGGGTGTATGGCATCCAGCCAGGGTCAACCTACAAAAGGTTGTCACACTGCACAGTGTTAACAACATCCAGGGACATATTGGTCTCCTGCTGTTGCTCACCAATCAGAATTTCAGCCAAGTGCCTCTCTTGCTGTTTTCAGGTCTCTGCTCCTCATGCTCCTCTTCCTTCTTCCTTCACCCCTCTCATTCCCTGAGTACTTTCCTGCTTACAGATATGCAAGAGTATTAATAATTCATACTCATGTTTTTCCACTGCTCTTACCACATGCTATAGATAACTTGGCATGAAAAGGAAAAATGGAAGGTAAATAGGAGAGCAAACACCAAGACCTTTTAACTGTACTCAGTCCTACACAGATAGATATATAGATAACTGTTGAAATGAGGCAGCACTATATAACCAATATGCATCTCTGCCCAACCTTATCTACTCTGTCCCTTTAGGCTGAAGGGTTCTTCTGGCAGTAGGGAGTGAATTTAGCATGTTTATGCAGCAGCCAGGACTAGAGGGATTTCATACTGTTATGATGACTTCAACTGCTGCCAGAACAAGGGTAATATTTAAAATACTGATAAACAAAACTGTATGTCAACATTTATTTTATTTGCCTAAATAAAAGAATACAGAAAAGAAGCAAAGATGTATGTTAAGTTTTATTTCATCCATCCAAATAAAATAATAAATAAAAGGAAACTTTCTACCTTCTAGTATGCCAGATACTTAAACACAGTATTTAATGTGTACTCCTTGTTACTAGGCAAAACAGTGAGACCAGCAGCTATCATACATTTTGAAATCCCAAACAATTAAGAGTAAATAAAAGAATAGTTAGGGATAATCTAAAATTGGTGCCGCCTGAATAACTGAAAACAAGTTTGACCTGCTTTCCCATGCACATGAACAGACACAATGTTCCTAAATTTAGTAAAGCTACAGGTATTTCTACCAGCTACAGTGCTGTATTACTCTACTAAGAGCAGAGACGGACAGTTTATTGCAAAACAGCACTTCAACTGTAAACCAAAGTGAAATATCTGCATGAAATGCTCTGTGTTTACCAGCATCTGAGCAGTAAATACATCATAGCTCTTATGAAAAATAAACATGAAATGTAATTACACAGACTGTTTGTCAAGATATGTTTGTGTCTTGAGTTCTTACAAATGCGAATATTGCTCATTCTGCCCAGGTCAGAAATGTCTTGCAGGTCTTACATAAATGCACTGAGATAGATGTTGCAGTGTTCCAATTATTGCTGCCACATTTTTAGGCTAATGAACCTTGTTCCATTTTTTTCCAGAAAGTGGAGGAGAAGCGAGCTGGTAGAGAACCTCGCAGGTGATTTATGGAAGGAGAGTTGGCTGTCCTGCCAGTGGAGTCCTTACATGCACTTAGAGCTGTCAAGGTCAGTGAAGGTTCATCTCAGGCAGAACTGCTGGGGCAACTGCACAAAGGGCTTTGCTGGGAAGTTTGATTACAAGGCAAAATATATGATGTTACTCTGATTCACTCTGCAGGGCTTCCTCCTCTTTAAATTTATTTTTGTAGACTGTATTCTGAGTGTAAGCACAATAGGCAAGTAATTTAGGTAATCGGAGTCATCTTGATTGGACCAGGCAAGGGCATTTGAAGTATTGATTGTAGCATCTGTGTAATACAATTAAAGCCAGTAGGCAGAATCCATCCATAAATCTTGGGTGAACTAGAACCATTTTTCTGTCCTTGCTTGAGGAGAAACACTGCTTCTTAATGTACCAAAAGTATCTTACTACGCTGTTTTGCTGTCAATAGATAGTTAGCTGCTAGTGTTGCCCATGTAAAAGCTTTCTTCTAAAGAAAATGTTCTGCTACTAAAATTGAGATAACCAAAACTCCTATCTAGAAATACCCACCTTTCTGTGGGTCCACATTAAAGTCACAGTCTTGTGATGAACTATGCATTTCATTACACTTGATGAGATATTTGCCTTAATTTCTGAGGCAGCAGTGGACAATATGTGATGGCATCTATTAATTTCCTTGCTTTTAAGTATTTCTGCTTTTTTAGTAGGGAAATAACTAACTAAATTGGGTTTTTGAATTCGAGTTTTAAATATATTGCAAATGCAAGATTTAATATATTCCCACTTGACACTGAAAGGCTGGGAAGACAAAAGATCTGCTGAAATTGTTTTCTGAGTCACAGAGCTTGCACAATGCAAATCCAGACAGAAAGCCAAGGGGTTCAGGGAAATTCTATGGAGAAAAAAAATATACATCTTTTCTTTAGAGACTACAGTGTATAGCCTATATGAGTCATGTGGGCTCACTTTGTTGAAATTGTGAAGCAGACTAGGCGCTCCAGGGTGTAATGCATCCTACTTACCCCAGACAATGAGCTAGGCAGTGGGTCTACACAAGAGTGAGTGGGCCAGCTGGGCCAAGGTGTGCATGTTTGCTGCACCCAGCAGGAACAAGCAGTGCTTCCTACAGCCACTTAATTGTCTGCAACTTGTGCATAAAAACTGTGTTTCTCTCTGCTAAGAGGCTCAAAGAGTTCTATTGAGAGCAAATTTGCTTTCATGTTGCTTTCTGCTAGGCTCATAACCTTGTGTTTTCATTTCAAATACCTATGTATGTATGGTTAGAATTCAGCCTTTTTTGTAGGATTTCTTATAATTTAGTTTTCTTTCTGTGTTCTGTCCCCAATAAAGATCACAAGCACTGCATAAATACTCTGGCCTGGATCCAAAAAGATGGATTTCTGAAAGAGGAAAGAGTAGAAGACTGAAGTAAGGAATGATTTTTGCTTTTGTGATCTTCGTACCATATTGTAAATGTGCACAGTAATTTGACAGGACTGTTGATGCTCATGTGCATTTCCTTGAATTAACATTAGAGCTGTAGTACTGACTTAGGGTGCTTAGTTTATTGTAAAACACTTAATCTTACACTGAAATATATATATATACATGATGAAAAAGTATTGTCTGCCTCTCTGGAATCTATGAGGAATTAAGGAAGAGTGGAAGGAAGGGACTTCTTTCAAGGCTACACAGGAACTTTGTGTGGGCAGACAGGGAAATTAAACCAATATCATCATCCCAGGGCCCAGACCAAAGTGTGTAAAAGGACGTGGCCACATCTGATACACCCTCTGCATTTGAGCCTCTTGCCCACAAGTATAGGTGTTGTACCATAGAAGGTATAATAGCATCCTACTCAGCCCTCAGCTGAGGCCCCTCTGTAAGCCCTGTGCTATGTGGATATCCTAAGGCATCTTAGGTGGCACTACAGGTTTCTGGGCAAGCAACTGAATCAAGTTCAAAATGTTTAAGGACTAAGCCTTAAAATATTAAGTGGTGGAAATGAGCCAGAGAATTAACTATTTGAATGGATTACTTGAAAAAAAGTTGAAGAGTGTAGTAATCTAAGCAAAAAGCAACAAAACAGAATTGTTCCTGACTTATAGACCTAATAGACCTAAGTTTGGGTTTTTTTTAAGAGAAATGTGGAAGAAGGTTTTGTATAAAGTAGATAAATAGGCTTGAATAAATACCATTTTTCAAATGGAGGGACAAATTATGAAATCAATTTATGATACCTAATCTTTAAAACCTTTTAGAATCCTCTAAGGTACATTTTCTGACAGCTTGAAGACATTTACTTTACCATTAGTCATTTTTCCAGAAGCTGTGATCTATATTCCTATGTTTGGTCTTATATCTCTAAGTTAGACTTTCCATGATGCTGCTGTCTTTGCTCATATAGGAAATTCCTCTGAAATCTTTTTGCATGCAGTAACTAAACTTGACAAAAGGAATCCAACTCTGATTACATTTTGACAGTATAATGTTCTGAATCATTTTCCAAGAAAAAAATTCCTTCTTAACTAGGATTAGAGTAAGATAGATACTTTGTTATGCAAATGTGCATTTCTGTGCAGATGGTATAATCCATGTTGGAAGTTTCCTTGAACTCTAAACACACTGTATTTTGGATTCACAGAGATATAGTTGAAAAACAAAATAAGCTCTGCGATAGAATTTTTGAGACTGAAGCAAGAGAATTAAGTGGATACCAAAAGTCAGCAATGTCAATGCTCCTAGTATCATTTTGTTTTGCCTGAGAATAAATCCTTCTCAAAGCTACTGGATTTTTTTTTTTCTCCTGGATGAGTAGAAAATTGAGTGTGTGTGATGTACATTTTTTCCTCTATATAAAAATCTCTTTCATCATAGAAAGTTTTACAAATCCTGTTTACAAATTCCAGTTTAAAGAAGTAATCTGAATGCCTTCAGTATCCAGAATATCAGTTTTATGATGTGATCATTGCACACAATCTGCACCATTTTTTGTTATGCAGCTGACCACAAGGTAAATAATCATGCTGTTCTTTATCTGACCCTAAAATATTGGTGGCTTGTTTAGGAGCTATGACTCACTTAGGAAATGTGTGTAAGTGTTCTCTTCAACAGTTTATTTCCTTCATAGAGTATTTTAAGGATGCCAATATGTATTTTGTCTGTATTTCCACAGGCTCTTCCCCTGGAGAGCTATAGGACTCCATCTGTTCCAAACAGCTGCCAAATACTCTTGTGAGCATGCATGTGTGTGACTATATATAAACAAACATACAGTAGTAAGAAAACCTGAGACTTTTCTGTGGTTGTGATATCACCCGAATAGTTAGAATGCAGTGTTTTACATATTCCTGTGTCTGGAAAAGAACTATTGCCCTTTCTTTCTCAGCTAAGGTAGTATGATGAATGTATTTCTTTGCCTTTCTGTAAATATACAGAGGATTTTATTATTTGTTTATTGTAAGCAGTACTTGGTTATATAATAGGGATGGCTAGAGGCTGTGACTGATATTTCAAATGTTATAGGGAGGTTGTAGAAAGATGAAATTGCTTTAGGTGCCTTGACAGCTCAGGGCTTTTCTGAATCCGCCAGCTCTGATCTTCAGGTGACTGAGTGAGCTGGTTTGCAGAGTGATGTTTCCCTGTCTGAAGCATCCTGCCAGTTAGCCACACCAGAGCTAACTTCAGGTTAATCTGGTGTGACATGGACCTACTGGTCTTTCCTGAATGCGAAGGCAGTTGCATCTTTTAATGATGTCCAATACAGTGTTCTGCTTTTTCAACTGATACAAGTGAATGACCCCTGTGTTTCAATTTCTTTAATCTCTTCCTGTTCCTTTAGAGATGCCATTCAATATAGAGATAGCTTTCCAAAAAGACCTAAACAAGCTGGCACTAACATCCTTCACACACTAGTCACAGAGTAGATTTTGTTTGTCTTCAGTGTTAGAGAACATGTAACAAGAGATTATTAACACAGACATCTATAAGAAACAAAGTATTTAATCTTGGAGATGCTACCCCATAAATTATTATACAAAAAGAGCTTGTTATATGGCAATATGATATAGCATCTTTTTGTGTGTGTGTGTGCATCACATTATTCAATAATTTTGTCTCTGTTGAAGGTATTCAGAGTATTGAAAGTGTTTTGAGAATACCAAGTTGTTTGACAAACCTGCTCCAAAGATAGTCCATTTCAATAAAGAGATTTTTGGCTTAATTCTGAAATCAGTTTCAGCTGATTTCTCCAAAATGAAACACATCTTCCTGAACTAGAAGACAGATCTCAAACCACGGACACAAGTTAGTGAACTTGTACAATCAGTCTGTTGTGTCATGGTTAAAATAAGTCAAAACTAACAACATTTCGTTTAGCGTACTCATTTACTTCTCACAATTTATGGCACTTGTTTTCTTGTTGGCTTGGATTTTGGTTCTGAAATTATGTTATACATGTTTCCGATATATGATGCTTTTCTTTTCATTTGAGGAAGCAGGAGACAATACAAAAAATAATAATTTTTTGCTGTTTTTTTTAAAGAAATGAATACTTCTTGGCAGTTACCAAGACTTCTACATAATTAAAGTACTGTATTAATACTAACTGTTGAGTCCTTGAACATCCCCACTCAGGAAAATAATTGGATTTTTCTATCCTAATTTTACAAATAAAAATGTGAGCTAAAAAAATGAAACTGTATGTTCTGAGGTAAACATCAGAAACATTTAATTGCAGGGACATGATTATTTCAGGATCAAACAGCTACATTCAAACCACCAAAATAGTTGTTTCTCCTTTATTGAACTATTGACATTTAAAAGGAGAGACTGGGTTTTTTCATTGCATTAAGGTACACTAGCTATTTCAATTAACCTTTTTCTTTTTCTAACAGCAAAATCTTCCAGTAAGCCAGAAGCTAAAATATGCAGATGTGTGTTTTTCTATCTTCTGCCTCAGTAACTAAAGGATAAAACCAATCAGGAGTTAAGTTTTCAGAGAGTAACTTACCTTCATTAGGCATACTTTCTTGAGATCTGTGCACTCATTTGTGATGAGCCAAATGAACTCTAGCAATATTGCTGTTCAGAAGTAACCCAAGCAAGTGCTGACATGCACAAACCCCTTGTTTTTTGGAACACTAATTGAAGATAGTGACTCAACCACTTCCCTGGGCAACCTAGTCCAATACTTGACAGCCCTTTCTGTGAACAGCTTTTTCATAATACCCAATCTAAACCTCCCCTGGTGCAACTTGTGGCCATTTTGTCTTGTCCTGTCACTCCTTACTTGGAAGAAGAGATTGATCCCCACTGGCTACAACTGGCTTTCAGGTAGTTGTAAAGGGCTATAAGGTCTTCCCTGAGCCTCCTTTTCTCCAGGCTAAACAATCCCAGCTCCCTCAACCGCTCCTCATAAGTCTCGTGCTCTAGGCCCTTTCTCAGCTCCACTGCAGAACATGTTTCAGCACCTCAGTGCCCTTCTTGTAGCGAGGGACCTAAAACTGGACTCAGGGCATGAGGTGTGGCCTCACCAGTGCTGAGTTTGGAAGGACAATCACTACTCTCAACCTGCTGCCCACGCTCTTGCTGATACAGTTCAAGATGCTATTGGCCTTCTTGGCCACCTGGGCACACACTGGATCACACTCACCTCCAGCAGATCAGCACCCTCAGGTCCTTTTCTGCTAAGCAGCTTCCCAGATGCTCCATCTCATGCCTGTAGTGCTGCATGAGGTTATTGTGATCCAGATGCAGGACTTGTCACTTTGCCTTGTTGAACCTCATCATGTTGGCCTTGGCACATCTATTAAGGCTGTTCAGATCCCTCTGCAGACCCTTCCTAACCTCTATCTGATCAACATTCCAACGCAGTCTGATGTCACCAGCAAACTGATGAGGGCTGCACTAGACCCCACTATCTAAATCATCAATGAAGATGTTAAACAGGACTGGCCCTGAGTCCTGGGAAACACCACTAGTGACTGATCACCAGCAGGATATCTCTCCATTCACCACCAGTTTCTGGGCCTGTCCATCCAGCCATTTCTTTACCCAGTGAACAATATACCTGGGAGGCATTTTCTTCTGGAGAATGCTATACAAGAACGTGTCACAGTCTGTACTGAAGTCCAGGTAAACAACATCCACAGCTTTGCACAAATCCATTCAGCAGGTCACCTTGCCATAATAGGAGAACAACTTGGTCAAGCAGGACCTGCCTTTTATACACCCATGCTCTCTAAGCCTGGTCCCCTCATTGTCCTGTATGTGATGTGTGATGGCACTCAAGATGATCTGCTCCATGAACTTCCCTGGCACTCAGAAGAGATTGACAGGCTTGTGGTTTACTGGATCCTCCTTCCAGTCCTTTTTGTAGATGGGTGTCACATTTGTGAGCCTCCAGTCCACTGGGAGCTCCTTCGTTAATGAAGACCTCTGGTAACTGAAGGAAAGTGCCTCAGAGAGCACTTCTGCCGCCTGCTCCAGTATTTGTGGATGGGCCCCATAGACGTGTGTCTGTTTAAACTGTCTAGTGGAGCACTTATGATTCCCCCTTGGACTGTGGGGGTTTTGTTCTCCTCCCCATACCTGTCTTCCATCTCAGAGGGC